CCAATACTGTTTGAGCTTTCTATTTTTAACTATTACTTACGTGCTACTATATTCTTAATAGTCATCTCTTCAACACTCCTCAAATAACAGAAATACAAAGGAAGCTCATTTTAAATTGCATTTTTCTGCTTCAGGGATCAGCTCTGATTAGTTATGTTTGTGCAATTCTTTCCACCACCAAGTCTCCTTCTGTGTTTCTTTCATCTAATAGAAAATTAAATGTGGCATTTGCTGGGTTCGCAAGGATTACTAAACACATCACATTCCAATGTCTAAGCCCCACAGCTGCTGCTCTGAAAATATTGCAACAAAGGTGTGTTCACAGCTCGGGTAAAACGAGCAGGCAAATTAGTCAAAGCAAGAAACACAAAAGGTAAAAACTGCTCTACAAGATGTCAGGTAAGAAATTCAATGAATTCCATCATTATAAAAAATTAGGAAGCATGCCGTTTAAGAATTCTTTGAGGTGAGATGTTTCATTTGTATGCAAAAGTGATTAAAATATGGCGATGCCCCAAATGATATCCACTCGGCATCCTGGCTGAATATTCGCTCTACACAGAGGCCTGAATGTTATTCAACTCGCTTCATCCTGTTCAACACATTTGCCTCTTGTGCTGTCCAAGAACTAACCAAAACACAAGTTTGTTTGGCAGGGAGACACAAGGGCAGGTTCACCGACACTAACAGTGTGGAGGATTATAAATGACACCGGGCCCAGCCGGTGTGGCTCAGTGGTTGAGCATTGACCTTTGAACCAGGAGGTCATGGTTTGATTCCTGGTCAGGGCACATGCCTAGGTTGTGAGCTCGATTGATTCTCCGGTGTAGGGGGTACAGGAGGGAGCCAACCAAAGATTCTATCTCATCATTGATGTTTCTCTCTCTCTCTCCCTCTCCTTTCCTCTCTGAAATTAATATAAAAATATATATTTTTTTTAAATGACATCAGTCTCAGCTCAGAGCTATGGACAAGCCAGACATGGTCACAGTGTCGGCCCTGGCCCAGTAGCTCAGCTGGTTAGAGCTACACCAAGGCTATAGGTTTGATCTCCGCTCAGGGCACATACAAGAAGCAACTAATGAATGCATCAATGAAGCAACTAATGAATGCAGTGCAGGTGAAAAGGAAGGTGGTGAGCAAGGAGCCGCATCCTCAGTGGACAAGGAGAGTGAGCAGGGGGTCAGTAGCGCAGGGCACTGCGGGGAAGGTAGTGTCATGTGACCTGTGAGACCCCGAATCACAGATCCTTCGGAAAGCCAGAGTGTGGGAGTGTTTGCAGGAGTGAGGACGCACCCACAGACACAGGGGCACCCATAGACACAGGGGCACCCAGACACAGGGGCCCTGCCAGTGCCGCCAACACCTCTCAACTTCAAACACTCTCACTTGCACGCACATCTTGTCAAGAGCCTTAACCAGAGCCCTTCAGCTAATAAGTTTTTAAACTCAACAAGACCCCTGAAGCCAAGCCCACCGCCTTCTCTCCCACCCAGCCTGGGCTCAGGCGGTAAGACGCAAACCCTGGGCTGTATCGGAGAGCGTTTGGAAGTAGCCACTCCCGCCTTCCCACGGACTCAAGCCCTCCCTGGACTGAAACCAAACACCTTCTGGAGACCACCCCACACGTGGCAAATCGGCTTCTTCTACCTTAAGTTCTTAATCACAGCCTTGGTTCCTATGGAAGCCTACGGCAGCTCTCCCATTCTCTGGGATGACAAGCCCCCTCATCCTCCCACCACCAAGCCTTGCCCTGACTCCATCTACCTTTACTCACCCTCTCTTCCTGTTACAGCAGGAGAAGTGCCCCTTCCCTGGCCTAAGGTCATTCCCTTCTGCCCATCATACACCTCCAGTGGCCCATGTCTCGCCTCCATCCTCAATGCCTCCCTCTGCAGTGGCTCTTTTTCGTTAGCATTTAAATGTGCCTCACACTCACAGCCAGACTTCCTGACCTAGATACATCTTCACCTGCTCACCCCGGTTTCCTATACGGCCTCTCCAACCTGGTTTCTACAGCACGAGTCACCAAAACCCTCATTGTCCCACACTCGTCTTGCCAAACCCAATCCAAATGTCCATTTTCAACTTAACCTAACTCTCAAAAAAAAATTATTTAATGACCATTTCCTCCTTCATAGTACAGGATCCCCTCTCCCTTCCACTAAAGCAACTCCCTTGTGTTCCCACGTCACTGGTCCCCTCGGTGTCTGGTATTTCCTCCTCTCTCTCTGTGTAATGTCCGCTGTCCATTAGAAACTCCAGGAGGAAGAGACCACACCTGTTTCGCTCATCACTGTGCCTCCAACGCCTATCCCATTACTTGGCTCAAAGAACGTGCTCTTTAAATATTTGTTGACTAGAGGCAAATAAATAAATAAACCTCTGTCTACACCTAACACCCTATGCAAAATTAACTCAAAATGAATCGTCAGCCTAATTATAAAATCTAACACCACAAGAATTTTAGAAACTTTTTGTGGCCTTAAGTGTGATAGTGGTATTGTGGTTATATTTTTTTAAATCCTTCTCTGCTAGATACATATACTGAAGTATTTATGAGTAAAATGTCTTTTTTTTAATTTTTAAAATGTGTTTTTATTGATTTCAGAGAGGAGAGGAGAGAAGGAGAAATAGAAACATCAGCGATGAGAGGGAATCATCGATCGGCTGCCTCCTGCACAGCCCCTGCTAAGATTAAGCCCACAACCCAGGCATGTGCCCTGACCAGGCATGAAACCGGTGTGGTTGGCTGGAATTTTTTAAAAATAAATACCACAGTGAGAGAAGGAGAGGAGGGGCGAGAGAGGAAGGAGGGGGGAGAGGGAACAAGATGGGAAAGAAGAGGGCAAGAGATGACAGACAAATAAGGTTGGCAAAGTCCTAATAATTCCTGGAAATGAGTGATGTCTCATGTTCCAGTCTCTCTACTTTTATGTATGTTGAAATTTTCCATAATGAAAACATTTCATGAAGGGGTCAACCTAGTGCACCTGTGAATAGTCCATCCAGTTCTAAATGTTAGGGTTCTATAATCAACTTCCTGAACTACATCCACTGCATGCTCGAGACTACAAATATGTATCAAAATGCCAGGACTATTTCCTAAAAGTTATTACACACAGGAACCCCAGTGATTACGGGGTGGTCAATGCGTGATCTAGTAGGAAAAGCCTAAGAATCAGGCCATATTTTTCTATGAAAAAAAATGAAGAATTGAAAAAACACTTCTAAATACATACAAGAGGGGATGCTCAGCTCTTTTCTGTAGCCAGTAACGACAGAATGAGATGAAAGAGATTTAAACTACATCCCAAGGCTAGTACAACAGATGCCCCCCGATCTCTTCTGCCTCTTTGTAACGAATCACACCAGCATATGTTCCTACCATTGTTTTAATCGTTTATTAAATCTTCTGACATTGACTAAGTGCCTGAAATACATGTTACCTTGCTGCTAGGGACTGTGGGAAACAAAGATGAATAATAAAATGAGGTTTTATACCGTTAAAAGGTCTACAGAATCTTCAACCACAGTTTTTAGTATCTGCTAACAGTAAACCTACTGGAGAAATCAGAATGTCGCTCATACCTGAAATTTTATTAATAATTTACTGAAAAATGATCTACCAACACCCAACTGGGAGTTTCACAGAAACCCGTCCAAGGAGCCCTGCGCTAAGGCTCGCAGCCGGCTTCCCGGGGCCCACCCCCTGGGTCACGGGCAAGGTCTGACTGCACTTTGCTGGAGAGGTGTGCTGGCTTTCATTCATCTGCTATGGTCTTCATCGCCAATGGCATGAACTTCGTTTCACACCGTGGAAACTCAAAAGGAGAAGGAAAAAGGAGGAGGAGGAGAAAGTCGGAGAAGAGAGGAGGGAGGAGGAGAGGAAGGAGAGGGAAGAGAGAAAGGAGTAGGGGAGGGAGAGGAAGAGGAAAAGGAGGAGAAGGAGGAGAAGGAGGAGGAGGAAAAAAACTGGGAAAAGATCAAAACAGAAAAGCTCTATCTGCTAAGCCTGCTTCTTCCTGAAGTTGAAAGGTAAATTCTTGAACTTGTGAAACTTCGTTCCCAGTGTGTGGGTGACCTCTAGTGGCTGCTTCCATTATCACAGCCCATTGGGTAAAGATAGCATCACAGGGACACCCAGCTCCACATTGTCCAACAGGACTTGGTTCACAATACAATGTGCTTAGTTCAAAACAGGTGTCCAGACGGCCAAATACACACTATCGCGCCTTTTTAAGTGACTTTTCCCGAGCGTCACTTGGGCAAAGGTCCTAAAGGGGAGAGTCCAGGAACGCAGGGTACAAGAGGCTCAGGAATGGATGCCCGCCCCTCCCCACCGAGCAGCATCCGGAATGCAGTGATTGATAAGGGGCAGCAAGGGGAGGTGGGAGGCACTCTGAGAGGTGCCAGTCGGAGGAGCAGGAAGTACTAGCCCCGGGCACGAGGACAAGGGCAGTTCAGGAACTGCCGGGCCAAATGCTCTCGGTGGCAGCGGCAGCAGCTGCGGGGGACCAGGCTGCAGGCACATCACCCAGGGCGACGGACAGGCCCGGTGGCTGCAGATGCCCTCTGCCCAGACCTGCAGGAGCTCCCACGGCAGCAGCCCACACTGTCTCCAGGCACAAGGACCCCACAGTGGGAGTGGGCGGCTCCCAGCTCCAGCCTTGGCAACGGCCTGTCCTCATCGGCAGACCCCCCCCGGGACCTCTACCTACATAACCTTTCCCTCGGGAAACGGGCCTCCTCCAAACGTAAGTGACAGACGATTGAGCCGCAAACCCGTAAGTCTGCTGTCCCCCTTCAATGACAGAACATGTTTTATATGTCCAGCTGGTGTTGAGCCTAAAGGTCTACGGAGGTCATCGTTTTATAGCAACGGGACAATTTCACAGAGAGAACTTCGTGAAGGGCAATGAAATCTGCGTATTCCAAGTCACAAAATGAGGGATACTCCCTTCTGTCATTCGTAACATTCCAGGACTAAGAGCAATTACCTCAATAACAGGTGCATGTTCTTGAAGTTCGGCTGTGTGTGAGGCCAGTAGACCAATCACGCGAGCGACCTTGGCCCGTCTGTAAATGGAGAGAAAATGGTCTGTGAGCGGGAGAGTCAGGGACTGAGGAAACCGACCCCCGGGAGAGTTCCATTCAGTACGGACGAGCACTGACAGGAGATAAGGCGGTGAGACAGGGTGAGAAACACTCCCCCGTGTCCACAGCCCAGAGAAATGCACGCGGGAGACCGCAAAGCATGCCTGCTCACCCCGTGGAAAAGCTGAACAACTTGTGCTCCTACAGCACGTGGAAAACATTTTCCAAAGGCTTAACCAGAGAGACGGACAGGGTAGTTTTTATTTCCGAGCACAAAGGTCTTTGGCTAAAGGTCTCTGTTCTACCTCTTAGCAGACGAGTGTGTGCGTGTGTGTGTGTGTGTAGTAAATAATACTACTTATTATTAGTATTAAACATATACAGGTCAGTGCAAAAGTAGGTTTACAGTTGTTCACAGGGAAAATAATACAATTAACAAATAATAATACAAGAATAAACTGTTTCTGTGCACTCACAACGCAGAAAAGCTGATAAACTTAAACATCACTTCAGATGATGTGGAAAAGTTTATTTCATATAGAAATTCGTTTGATGGGAGTCTTTTCTGTAACGTGGAGAGAACTGGTGGGAGGGTGGCTTCCTCAGCGCAAGGCTTAGGGTGTAGCTCGCAGGGGCTGTGGCTTCAACCCTCCCCAGTGGCAGGCTGCCTTTCCTTCCTCTCCCAGAGGCAGTGCCTCTGTGCCTGACCTTGGGTTGGGAGATTTTCTGCT